GCGGGTTAAAGCACAACACTAAGAAGCTAAAGCCACTTCAGCATGAGTTCATCCCCGCCCTGGAGGTGGATCCACATGGCAAGACAGACCTCTCCTGACTGGCCCACTGCTCCAGTCAGCTGTGTCAATCTGCCTGTTCTGCTCCCCACTGTCTCTGGTGAATCCTCTCACTGGCCCTGCACCTCTGGCCTCTACCCCAGTTCTGTATGCATAAATAAATAAATCTTTTTTTTTTTAAAGTGTGTTTTGATCATGATTCGCTTCAGTCATCCAATGGACTCTATATTTTTACTTAATTTTTGGCTCTCTCTCCCTCAGAAGTGGTAGAAATTCATTTAATCAAAATGCAATGAAATATACTTTTAAATGTAATAAGTGAAAATAAACTGCCCATTCTTTTAAATTATAGTTCATAGTTTTCTTTGAATTTTTAGTCAGGGTGCACTATGGTCTATATCAAATATAATTTCAGCTATGATATTTCGAGATACACTTTAGTACATCAATTCAAAGCCAAGAAATAGAAAATCTGACAAGTCTGGCTTTCAGCTCTCCCCTCAAATGTATAATAGAAACCTACATACCAACTCAGAAATTACAGAACAGAAGACAGAGTGTAAATGAGCTTCAGTCTCCGCCATGAGCATGGCCCTGGAGAGAACTTTTGGACACTAGCAGCATAAAATTCTGTATCACTACCTCCAGAGACTTAACGTCCTGTTGGCTTACAAACTCAAAATCTAAGTTACTAAAATTGGTTTTCTGAGACACAGTTAGGAACCACTTTCTATTCTTTGTTTGAAGCCCAGCTGCAATTCATTTCTGGGTAGAAAACGACTGTCTATAATCAGGATGTAAGAAAATGTCTCCACTCCTGTTTATCATTCAAACAATGAACAAACAACCCTACTTTGGTGATTTTACTTGCATTAATGAGGTATCACAGGGAAGTTCATAGAATCTCCTAGCACCCTGGCAGAGCAAGGTAGTGATTATTTCCCCAGACGGTATGTATACATATGCTTAGGGATAAATTCAAGTTACAATTTAGAATCTATTAACCGAGTGCTGGGCACAGTCTTGATTCCAAAGACATTACTGCATTATTTCATTTGATCTCAACAGTTCCACAAGATAGTATACCATTAACCTTCTTTTACCACAAGGAAATTCTAACTAGCTGAATTCATGGAGCACTGCTTTAAGTACAAGGCTAACTCCAACAAATTAGGTGAGGCAGGATGGTAAAGCTACAAGGTCACAGGAATCCTTAAAAAGCTGGCACCTGGGCCCTCCCTGATAGCGCAATGGGTTAAAGTGCAGCCCTATGAAGCTGGGTTAAAGCACAGCACTATGAAGCTCTCAGAAGCCATTGCTGCACAAGTTCAATTCCTGGCCAGAGAGGTGACCCACATGGTGTGGCGGAACTCTCTAGACCCACCCACTGCCCCCCTCAGCAGTGTATTTGAGTACATCTGCCTGTTCTGCTCCCTGCTCTGTCTCTAGTGAATCCTCTCACCCACCACACCTCTGGCCTGTACCTCAATTCTGTAAGCATAAATAAATAAAATCTTAAAAAAAAAAAGCTGGCACCCAGGCACAGCTTCCTTCCCAGCCCGGGGTGAACTGGAGCTCTAGAGGCTGGCAGGATATGAACAAAGTTCACTCTTTCAAGTACCCTGTAGAGAGCCTCTAAAAGTTTCATTCCCCTTTTCTAGTGGAGCTTTGTATCAACAGCTTTGGAAATGAGAGAGATGGGTATTATTATAATTATTTTCATTTTGATTACACCTGAGTTTGAAAGAAATCATTTGACATAGAAAGTTGGGATTTCCATATTTAAAAAAAAAACACAAAAACAAAACGCAGTTTAAAAAAATACAACACCTGGTAATCTATCCTGGAAGTCACTCAAACTCAAACCTAAGCAACAGTGATGGTGTTAAGCCCACTTCTGCACTTCACATTTGAAATATGCACTAGCCACTGAGAGACTAGGAAGAAAAGTCAGACCCTTGGGGATGCACTGAACAATTGTGCAGAAACAATAACCAGATGCTAAAGTTTGATCTCTTAAATACACCACCTCCACGGAAAGCAAAACTTTAAAATTACAAGAGCCTCCTGGTGGTGCAGAGGTTACGTCTCAGCACTGTGAAGCTGTCCGCAGCCACTGCAGCATGAGTTCGATCCCCGGCCAGAGAGTGTTCCACACAGTGCAGAGGCCTCTCCTGTCTCCCCGCTGCTCCTCAGCAGTGTGTTTCAGTGATTTGCCTGTTCTGCTCTCCACTCTGTCTCTGGTGAATCCTGTCACCCCCCTGCACCTCTGGCCTGCACCCCAGTTCTTGTACGCATAAATAAATTCTAAAAAATAAAATGAAATTACAATAGAATTCTGAATCACAAGAGCTATACTGGACTTCCAGCTTAAAAATGACATAGAAAATGACTTGACAATCAACCGCAGCAGAAAAGCAAACTTCGTGTGGAAGATTATGGACAAGAATTGTTTCAGACAGTATTTTAAAATGTCATAAAAGTCAACAAGAAAGTTTTAGCATTTGTGTTATAAGCTTGTGCTTCTTAGCTGGTTATATATATGGGAAAGAGCTTTTAAAGGTACCTGTTGTCATCCTCTGCTAATATTAAAATTAGCCTGTATCTTGATTTGATTGTATTATGAACTGAATATTCTCGATGTTACCTGAGTCTCTTTTATTAATAGTCTTATATCATGAACTCAATTTCCAGACAGAAATCAAAATTACAGACTAGTTATCAAATCCACCTCCTCTCAATTCCAGCTGGAACTGGAGCAGAATATCAGTTCATCTTCCCACTACCTCATCTTCACTTTGTCCAAAGAAACGAGGGAAAATTCCATGTCAGTGATCAGAATGACTAGCTTCCAGTTTACTGCTTCACATTGTGCATGTGAGACACAAATTTGATCTACATCTTACCTCAGCTAAAATGCAAAACAGGATATTTGAGGGAAGCCCACTAACTTCCACTGATGAGCTTTCTTCCTCTCCAAGCAACTTAGTTTGATATTGTAAAAGTATTAAATACAGTGTTTCTGAATCGCACACAGCACCTTGTAACCTCTTCCCCATTGGATACAACCAAGTCTCTACCTAGTAATCCCAGTTGGCTAGACATAAATATTCCAGAAGATAATGGTTAAATGGAATTTGGGGAATATTCCACAAATACATTGCTTTTTGGCAAGGCAGGGAAAGAACATTTCTAGCAGAGTTAGTTAATCAAAACAAGCTGAGCCGGGAAGTAGACAAACAGGAAAACTCCGCGAAAGGTGAGAGCAGGGAGCAGTAGCAGTTAGTTCTTGTTGGATTTCACCTGTCAGGGGGCCCAGACAGGTATCCACCCTGTAATAATGCACAACCCGTCCCCCAGGACTGATGGCATAGGATGTTGCCAGTTAACACCACGTTCATGCCAGGCACTATTTCCTTTGTTTATTGGCAGCACTTTTCCTAATATATGAAAGTGTGCATTAAAAATAAATAAATAAAAAGATTTATTTATTTATGCATACA